ATTTAAATTTGATGTATAGACTTCTTTTCATGTTTCGTCTCACATGATTTATGATAGAAGTGAATTTTCTCGATAATCTTTTGTTAATTAACTTCTCGAAGGGACACTAAATTCTTGCCTGTCACAATAACATTGCGCTATTGTTGATAACAATAATTTGCAAATTATTACGTAGTAACCTTAAATTCACCGAGAGAGAGAGAGAGAGAGAGAGACAGCGAATTTCGTTCTGGCGCGACCGTATTTTCCGGTTTGTACGCGCGGTTGTAATCCAATTAAAAGGTGATCGAAGCGCGGGAGAGGAAGGTTTATCGAAAGGCAGAGAGAGAGAGAGAGAGAGAGAGAGAGAGGGGGGGAGAGGAACACATACAAGCTAGGTGCACGGTCACCCAACGGCAAAAATGGCGGCGCCGCGTTCAATTAGGCTGGCGGTAACAGCGTCGGTTTTGAAAAATTCGATTAGCCACCACAATGCCTGTCGCAGAACTTGTGCCATTTCCGCTCCGCTTTCAGCCTTCGACGCGACGATCGCGTCCTCCTCTCTTGTTGGTCTATCTTCTTCGATCGAGAGAATTTCTTCTCCTCCTCGTCCTCCTCGTTCTCCTCCTTCTCCGCTCTGTCAAGCGGTGATCGGTCTCCGGGCATCTTCAGTTCTTCACCTTCGAGCTAAATATTTAACTCGTCGTCGGTGGTGGTCGGAGAATGAAAAACGAGGATGGCGTCGGAAAAGAAAGGGTCGAGCTCCGAGAGCGTTTCCGAGGGCGCGAACAAAAGGCGCAACCCTCTTGGAAGCGCTCGCGCAGAAAGAAAGAGGATGGTCCGGTACAGTTGGAGTTCTCTCTTGGAGAAAAGCGAGAAATAGATTTTGCCGCGGCATACTGATGTTTTCTAATTTCCGTGCGTACGAAAAAAAAAAATAACGAATTTTGTTCCATCACTGGCTGTCGTTTTTGATAAAAAAAAAAAAAAAAAACTGTGTTAAAATGATTTATGTTGCGAGGCACACATTGGTCTTTTTAGAAAAACAAAAAGCCTCATGTAGAAAAAAAATTCTTATTTTGATAAATTTGCACGCAGAACTCATTTCGCGATTGCAGATGTGTACCTACCTACTATCGAAACACCCTGTATGACCCTAATAACCGCGCGAGTCGCTCTTTAAAGACAAAAAAAGCGTGTAATGTCGAGTTTTTTTTTTTTTCTAAACTTAGAGTGTACGTTCATTGAGGTAGCATTTTCCGCGATGGATTACCACGCTCCGAACGTCGCAACGGATATCGGATTTTTCCGTATTTCCGCGTGTTTGATCGAAGCTGACCCGAGTTAACAACGAAGGTAGCGACATAACAACTTTTTCTCGAAAGATGACATACAAGCTATAAACGCGATAGCTCACAGCACACACTTGTGCAATATTTTAACCAAGTACGCTCTCGATACACATTTTAAAAAATTTTATAAATAATAAAATATCTAAAAACACAGGAAGATGAAATAATCGGTGGCTAAAAATTTTTTTTTTTTATTGATGATTATACAATATATAAACTCAAAATTATATACGTTTTGCAAAAAGACAAAATAAAATATAATTATCTCTTTAAATTATTTTATAATTATTTCGAGAAGAATACCGTATCAAATTATCGTCAGATCGAGGCAAATTAGAATTTTTTTATTGCAAAAGTTTTGCGACAAAAATACAAGACGAATTAAAATAAAAAGATTGCATTGTATCGTTTTACGTTTGAATAACTCACTGCGTCAAATCAAAATATTCAGTTTAATAAAATATATATTTTATAATCAAAATAAGAGAGAATGAGCTATTTTGTGTTGAATTTATCTCGTTTGTAGAACGTTTTTTTGTATTTTGTTAATATTGGTATATAAAATAGTAAAAATCAATTGAATTACGTTCTAATGTTATTTTACTAAACTTGTGTTTCCCGTTCTCCCAAAGACAGAAACAAACTCAAATTCTGTCGCGTGCTAATGGAACACGCCGCTTACGGTACACAGCGTGTCCTTGGCTGAGCACTTTAGAGTTGTAATTTGCATTTATTATCCAGAGTTTCGTTATGTCCTACATCGAAATCACTGACGTCCCCAACTTTCTGCGAGAGAAAGACTAATTATTTTAAACTAATTAAGACAAGTTTTCGGTTTCCAAAATCCAACAAACTTGCGTTGTTTTACGCTTTATTGAACGTTTTGTCTTTGTAAGATATACATATTTGTTATTTTGCGTTAAATGTTAAACAGAACGATTATGAAGTGATATATATATATATTGTATTAATTGACTGATTGATATACCAGTTGCGCGGGTTATGAAATCTTGTTTATTGCGTTTAATATTATGAAACAAATTGGTCAAGTAATGAGTATAATTGGGAAAGAGCACCTTATTGCGTAATCACTCGGCGATTCTATCGGCAATTGGTAATTAATGATAACGGCAGACCGATTTGATAACTCATTCGTGATCAGTGCAATGTTCCAAACCGATGATAGTTAATATCGAGCGGTTAGACGATATTTGTTCGGTGGTTGGCTATAATTGATGCATTCCCAAGTCGTCACAATAGGTCGCCGCATAATTGCGTTGTATGTAATTATAACGGCACATGTGGTTATGATACATATTGTAAAATCAAGAACGCGCGTTCTCTCTCTCTCTCTCTCTCTGTTTCTCTCTCTGTTTCTCTCTTCTCTCTCTCTCTCTCTCTGTCTCTCTCTTTCTCTTTCTCCGCGTACAGAGAGATAACTTCTGATTCTTGTCTCGTAATTTTTTAACGAAGGAATCACGAATCTATCTCTCGACGAAAGCTCCCTTAACATTATTGTCCTGACTTGTGGTCTCGAGAACTCCGGGATCTCCTCGGTTCGTCCGAAATCCTCCTGAAGCTCCAAGTTCCTGAATATAATCCACGGAATCCCTTTACCTAATTTCCAAACATACTCGGAACGTCGAGATCTACTACTCAGCCATAATGTGTTGCCGCATTCGCGACGAAACAAGACAAGAAGCGCATTAGACAGTCGTTATCAGACGTACAATATAGGGTGTGCGCGCGAGATATTCGATTTATTTACACAGTTATTTTCAATTTTCGTCTTCCAATATCTGTTTAATTTTTTTAAGACGCACGTGCGTGGATAATTTTTTTTATATTACACCTCTTTTGTTTTTATCAACTTTATTGCATATCTACGCGATAAGAAAAAAAAACACACAAAATGCTGTTACCCTTGTATATAGGCCTATACTTGATCTTGGTTTACCTACCTATGTGTGTGTGTGTGTGTGTGTGTGTGTGATAATTATGTTTCTGTCGCGCATGTCGCAGTTACGCAAAACCACGTATATAGCACTTTAACACACTCGACCAAGTTTACTCGCCGCACTGCAGTAGTAACGAGTCACCAACCTGTCTGTTTGAGATGATTTCCGAAGAGTCTCTCTCGCATATAGTTTTATATATATATATACCGGTATGCTTGTGCGCACCATTGCGCTCGACAGGTATCGCAATGATAAATATGCGCGTACGGCTCTTTTTTTTATTCATCCTCGTCTCTTCCGGTCTCTTCGCAATTCTCTGGCAACCGGCCAGGATCGCAGCAGCTCGTCCGAACCAGGACACGAGCTCTGAAGTTCGACGCACGGCCCGGTTAGGCAGCGCCCATTTCAAAATGAATTTTTCTCTTCTTCTTTCCTCTCTCCTCTCCTCTCTCTCTCTCTATTTTTTTTCGAGCAAAACGTTTCGGTCGAACGGAGACTACGTAGTCAAACTTTGCGCTTCTGCGTATACTTTTTTTTTCTGGGCGAATCTATGACTCTTTTTTTTTTTCTTTTTTTTTTTTTAGAACGTGCCGTTTCCGTGACGATGATGAATAGGTATAAATAATATATAGATGGGCATTGTGTGAGGCAAGTTTCTCAAAATTCTCTGTTCGGCGCAAATAATAGCAATTTGACGAAACTTTCGATCGAGAGAGCGTGTCAATCTCTGATTGTTTTATCTTTGTCGCGTTTATAGTTGCCAAGTGTAATAAAATAAAATAAAGGAAAAGAGTTGTAAATGTGTGTGTGTGCAAAAATTTTATTGTTTATTCATATACTAGTTGTTTTGCGCGTCGTGAAAAATTTAAAACTACAGAATTACATAAACTATGATATCCGAGAGTTTTTCAGAAATTCGTTTTACCCGCGCACACATATGGGTTACACATTATCACTAGAGACTAACAATTTCACGGGAAAATATAAAAGAGTTCGCTGGAGGAAAAAAAAAAAACACAAGTAGCGCACGTTTTCGTCTGACGAGAAAGAATTCTTTATGAACGTTTCGCGGTAGCTCTCATATATTATCGCATAATCGTAAAGGCTTAAACGTGTCAGCTTTTTTCTCCCAAGAAACCTGGAGAATGAGAATTCTCTACCTTTTCTTTTCGTCGGTTATAGTTTCTCCATCGTTTTCTCTTCTCTTCCCTCCGAAGACTTTTGTTTCTCGTATATTTGTATTATTCTCCGATCTTCCCCGCGCGGAGGAGAAATATCTCTCCTTTTCTTCCGACGGACAGTTGCGCGTAAAAGATGAAACTCGCAAACGAGAGAAAGAGCGGATAGCGCGACAACGATCTTAAGGCGAGGAACTTAATGTAAATTTTTCAAAAACGTCGGCCACACCAGAATTATATCTCCGATATACCGAGCCAAGCGGAAATATAAATGATTTGACGAAACTCTCCGAAAGACGGAACGAGAGCGTTTCCATTTTTTGCGAGTGAAATTTTTCGACCTCGCTCTTCTAATGAAATTTTTGCGCGAAATGTGACGAAACGGAAAGAAATTGCAGCGCGATTATGCACGCGCACGCTTTGCTTAGCGCGTTTGATAAGCGACACATGCGTACGCGCGACAATGCATAAGAAAAGAAGTTTAGAATTCATATTTTTTTTTTTTTTGAGAGAGAGATATATATATATCTCACCTGATAGTCCATATAATTCCCGTAGCCCATGTGATTACACGTGCAAGCGCAGGCTTGAATGTGTCTTCGCATATCTAATTCGACCTCTTCGCCGCACACGCCTCTGTTCGTCGCCATCATCGTGTCTCCCATGCAATAGCCACCGGTGCAATACATCCTCGGGTCGCTCTGATCCAGGTAACCACCCCCGGTGTCATCGTAACCAAGCCCGCTGGCGCACCTGGAATCCGAGGCGTATCCCATCCGGGACTGTGGACGTTCCTCGTAACCTAGTCTAGACTGAGGCCGATGGAATGTCGAAGACATATCCTGGAAAGGACAAAGGAGATCACATAATTGACGTGATCAATTTATTATCACGTGTATCGGCAGATCGCGCGCTTGATCTCGAAGAAATCGTATGTGAATAAACGCGCGCGGTAGATGGGGGAAGGAAGGAAGGAAGGGAATCGTGATATGAAGAAGAAAACGCGTACGCGCCACGATCTGTGCGATACGATAACGTTCGGAATAAGGAACACTAAAGGAATACAGACGACGAATGCTCGGCACGTCTTGTGTACGCGTTATATATTCGCGAAATTGCATCCGCAAAGCGATGCGCGGCTAGCGCGATGCTAAAATTTAATAGGATATTTGATATCGATACTTTTTTTTTTTTTTTTTTTTACTTTTCGATATCAAATACCCGCGCAAATATATCGAAATTTTTCATACACACGGTATTTTCTTCATATATTTTATTTTGATGATACTATTTGTATCAAAAAATGTTGTGGCACGTGATAGAGATAAGAGAAAAATCTTTTTCTATACATATATATATTAGGTCTACCGGAAAGTTCTGTCCGTTTTTGGAATAAAACAAAATACAAATTTTTCTTACCGTCATCAAACTTTATTAAATAATATAATTGCCATTATTATTAATGATTTCTCGCCAGCGTGAGGGCAATTTCTATATCCCAGTTTTGAAAAATTAAGAAAAATTTGTATTTTGTTTTATTCCAAAAGCGGACAGAACTTACCGGTAGACCTATTATATATATATTAGGTATATATTAATATATCTAATATATATAGGGTAATACCTAATATAATATATGTATATATATATAATACCTATTATATATATATTAGGTATATATTAATATATCTAATATATATAGGGTAATACCTAATATAATATATGTATATATATATTATACCTAATATATATATATATATATATATATATATATATTAGGTCTACCGGAAAGTTCTGTCCGTTTTTGGAATAAAACAAAATACAAATTTTTCTTACCGTCAATAAACTATTAAATAATATAATTGCCNTGTATATATATATATATATATATATATATTATATATATATATATATATATATATATATATATATATATATATTAGGTATATATATATATATCACGTATTTGCATGTAATGTTCATGCGTTTGCGTATACAATCAGGCACGCATGTGTTTAACATTTTCCTATCGCATATCATTACGTCGTGTAATGATTAAACTCCAAGCCAGATTAAACTTACTGTCACTCTCGCGCGATTTTGTCGCGATCTTGTCGCGAGAACCTGCCTGTCTCTCTTTGCTTGAATTGATGCGGTGAAACTTGAGGAACTGAAACGCCGCGGCGCCGTGCCCGCCGGGTCGAATCAATTTTCGGATACCGAAAACCCGTAATGGAAGATTCCCGCAGCGAAGTTGACGCCGGGGGTCGCCGAACTTGCGCGAACGAGGAAAGACGGAACTCTCGTCGTCGTCATTGACTGCGAGCTCGACTACTGATCACATCGCGCTCAAAATCTCTTCTTGCTCTGACACGACTATCGAAAAAATAAACGTCGAGGCTCGTTTCCTCCCGCGCATCGCGCGCATTGTATTAATAAACGAGTTGGCGGAAAAAAAAAAAAAATAAAAAAAAATAAACTCGCCGCGATTACCAATGCGACGCTTTTAGCAGCGGTGACGCTGCATTAAACTTCGATTTCAGGATATTTCGAGGGTACATTCTTTTTTTTGCTCCACCTTCCGCTCGGGGAGTTCTAATTGCGGTTGTTTGTCTTCCGCGTTACGATAGAACACACACACACACACAGAGAGAGTGTGCTCGAGAAAATTAGAAAAGAAAAAGGTGTGTTCTCTTATTGATTTTAAAGTTGGTACACATTAATACATTTTAACGCGTTTTTCCCAATCACGCGACGCTATATATATATCTCAACATCATTTTAATTAAAAAAGAATCTTAAAAACCTCGTTCGCGCCAATCCTGTTATTTGCGAAAATGATATATTGCGATAAGTGATATAAATTTGAACTCTCTCTCTCTCTCTCTCTCTCTCTCTCACCGTCCGATAATCATAAATATTAAACTCGGACAAAACACACGGTTACACGTTTGTTGTTAAAATGGCAAAAACTTGTTCGATTCTGTTGGATAATTATTGTGTAATGCTCGCGCTCGATATGGTGGATATCAAATTTAATCGACATCGAGGCGCGCGCAGTGGCTCGCTACTATAATACCAAAGCTTCGCGCACACGAGTGTAGCGTTAACCAATTAATCGCATTAAGATGAATTATTATTAGAACGTGTTAATTTCGACTCAACGATATCGACGATGAAACCGAAAGCGCCTCGGTTTGAAACATTCATTGAGAAACAAAAATTGATTTATTTAAAACGCGTTAACGTTATGTCTGGAATGTTTTTTTTTTTTTTTTTTTTTTTTTCAAAGCTACTTTTAGTAATAAAAGAGGTATTGTGCGTGTTACAGCTTTTCCATATCATGCGCATAACGGCGTAACATAATAGAACAGACAGGTAATATTGTGATATATAGATAATGAGCGAGCAGACGGGAGTTGACGGGAAAAAAGTGGACGCGAAAAAAAAAAAAAAAAAAAAAAATAGACCGATACGAACGGAAAGATAATTACGGAGAGAAAGAGACGTACCTGAGGATAGGTTTCGTCCTGGTAAGGTGTCCTGCGATGGCAATCGTCATAGCACCTGCCGTCGTAGCCGCTGGACGGGCGTGGGTACGAATCCTGTGCCGCTACAGCGGCCGCGCAACAGTCCGGTATTTGCGCCTGATAGGTCTCGTACGGACATTTGTCGGGCTGGGCCGGTCGCGGGGTCTGGTGCACACGTTCGTGGGGCCCTCCGTAACCCGTGCCGCCGGCACCGCCGCCGCCGCCGGCGCCACTGCCACCGCCACCGCCGCCGGCGTGGTGCATTTCCGTCCACTCTTGCGGACGACTCTCTCTCTCTCGTGATCTCTCTAACACTCTCTCTCACCACCTTCCTCGATCACTGCATCCTTAATTCCGCGTGATGCGCCGTTACGCGCGAACGAATAATCTACGACCTCGACGTAGAGTCTCGCGTCGTCTGTCGGTTGTTTCCCCGCGCGAGTCCATCTTTCTTCTTCCTCCCGCGGAGTTTACCACATTCGGAAAAAAAACTTGGACTACTTGTTGCGAGCGCACGCAAATGTTCCCACACTAGCCCATTTCGTACCTGCGATCGTCGTATGTGAGAATATCGTATTATTCGCATCCATGGAATAAAGAGCCGGGTATTCACACCGTATTCGAACGTCGTAGCTCGTATCCACTCGACTCGCGCGCAAGTTCAGCGCGCACCCACCACTCGAATTAATGCACCGCATTACTTGTGTAACACGCTCCGAACCATCTGTATTTTCTCCTACTGCCGAAGGGAAACTACCGGTCGGTTCTCTTCTTCACCTACTTGGCGCGCATATTTACGAGCCAAGGACTTTTTTTTTTTCTTTTTTTGTTCTGCGTTATTTACTTGAGCTCTTTTAATCTTAGTCCCTTTGGGCGCTTTTTCAGTGTCGTCTCGCAGTGTAAGCTTTTAGATACTCGCATTCGTGAAACAACGATGCTCGATCAACGTGCCAGACTTGATCCGCCCATTGATCTTGTCTGACCCCTTGTCCGACTAAAGCGTGTACGGTATTGCTTGTGTAAACTAATGAGTGTTTGCAAGTAGTATGATGAAGAATCGATCCTCCTCCCAGGAGCAAATCCAATTTTCATACATTAAGGATGTTAATGCGCAGCTTGCATTAGATTATTTCTAGTAGCTCAAGCTGTAATTAAACACACGGTTCCTCCGTGACGACATTCTGACTGAAGCAATTTTCGATATAACGAACGAGAGTTTTCAATTTCGGGGAAAATTCGAAGAGAGATCTTCTATTCTATAAATAAGTGTAAAAAAATCTCAATTGACACAGTCAAATCATATATCACGCGTGCGTATATTCGCGAAATATGTGTACGTGATCCGTAATTTTAACTTCTCTTAATTTATCCGAGATCTGCACACACGCTCGGTTGAAACTTTAATGGAACGACGATAAAGCAAACGTGTGTACGTGTATATACGAGAAAGACACACGTTTGTTATCTGCGGAAAGGAGTTAAAGCGCTTTGCGCGCAGATTTGCAATTTTCGGAAATATTAATCGAGTTTAAAGTGTTTAAAACCAGAGATTTTGGTCGCTATAACAAAAAAATAAAAAAAAATCAGAGAGAGATGAAGAACTTATAAAATTGTTGAGGCTGTCTCTCGTTTCGCAACGACGATTTTTGATTTTCACTCGGGTGCTTCCGCGACGCATAATGCGTTTTTGCAAATCGAAGAATTTTTCTGCAAAAATACGTGAAAAGATATCAATGGCGAGAGTCTGGTATTATATATATATATATATATATATCGCAAAAGAGAGCATAACTTGCTTCGAGAACCAAACAAACTCGAAACGTGCTCTCAGAACCGCGAAACCAGTAATTCTCTCGAGTAAATTAGAAAGATGTGAGAAAAACTTTTTCCGCAACTCGGGTTTCGAGAAGACTTCCAAGTAAAGGAGAAAGAAATGAAGTAAAAAAAAAAAAAAAAAAAAAATATCTGATTACGCGCGCTATGTACGCGATCCCCGCGTACAAGGAGATAATAACGTATCGTATCAAATAAGTTTTCTTGCGATTTATAAAAAAAAAAAAACAGAATGAAGATTGAATAGTGCGTCGAGAGGGCCAATGCAATCTCACTCTCTCTCTCCTCTCTCTTCTGGTTTACGCAATTGAGAAGCGAGCTATTTCAGAAAGCCGATTTCAATCGTAAATTTAGCTTGCGCGCTTAGCTTCTCCCGCCAGCAAATTCAGCTTCCTTTTGTTTTACGCGCGCTCGCCTCTCATCTCTGACCGCTTCTCCGTGCGTTTATTCCGGAATAGTTGACGGCGGCGCTTTCGGCGCTCGACGTCGTGTTCTTATCCTGCCTTGTGTTTCCGTCCTCGCTTCTCTCACATCGCGGCAGTTCCGCCGAGCGATAGAGCCGAGTTTTGTCTCGCGAAAACCAAAGTTTCTTTCAGGCTTTCAATGATCAGCAGAATGATGTCGAGAATAGGGGGAAAACGAAACGAAATGGCAAAGCCTCGTTCTTTACGAGGAAAGCTCATCCTCGACTGCGAGTTTTCTTTACGTGCGCGATGCTTTATTCATCACGGTCGTAGTCGCATCTCAAAATTTTCCGACCGGACCGCAATCTAAACGGATATTCTGCGATATACCCGATTGATCGGCCGGAATCTTTTGTTCGCGTTTCATTATTTTCAGAAGGAGCTTGTGTGTAAAATATATTCACGGATAAAAAAAAAAAAAAAAAAAAAAATTGTCAATCAAAACATCTCTCATCTGACTTTTTCATGCCGCTCTGAGAGCAAAACTATAAAAACCAATATAATAATATATTTTTAACAATAAAAACTTCGATATACAATACGTATATATACAGTTTGACTTTTGATTATTTATAAATAAATTTTGATTATTTGCAAATATCATGAAAAATGATAAACTTGTTGCACGGATTCTCATGTCTCTTACATATTTACATATCCAATGTAATAATTGAAATTATAACGGCTATTATATTGTGAGCCTTTGCGGGATGTAGTGCAGTAATGATGATTTTAAAAAAAAATTATGTTTTTTTTAAATCAAAACGTTTCGACTTTATTTGAAGTCCTTATCAATTGATCTGATGTTTTTCGACATTTGATAATAAACTAATTTTTAACAATTGAGTATCTTATGGTCATGCCGGTATGATCGGTGTAACGATACTCATTACATATATTTACGGCTCGTGAAAAATATTTATTCACACACTCTCACGCTCTTTACGTATGTAAATATCATTTTTGAGATGAACGATTTTTTTACGATTCCGGTCAGCTTAGAAAAACAATATCGTGTCTTCTCTTTTACTATTTTAACAAGATTGCCGTTGGATCGCGGGGGCAGATAATTTTCTCTCTTCTCGGTAAATCCGAGGGTGGTTTGCCGAAACGAGAGGAGTCTTCATCATTTAAGAACGAACTGGATACCCTACTCTTCTCCCATCATCAATCTTCGCAAGTCAAGGGTAACACGTTCATCTTCTACAATTACGAGGCTTTTACCTCCGGGGAGGAACGATTTGCATCCCAAAGGGATGGATACACATCTTTCGACTGGAATTTACTTTTCCAGAGAAGAGTATAAGTACATTCACAGTTTATGCATCTTTTATCACAAACAAGGAACTGTTTTCGTTTCATGTACGTAGATGTGTGTGTGTGTGTGTGTGTAGTGTAAAAGATATTTTAATTTTCTACAAATAAGCGAACTGCATGTATATACATTTGTTTAATTTTTAAAATTAAACAAACAAATAAAATAATAATTTAAGATTATATGATTCTATTATTATTCATATTTATGACATTATTGCTATTTATTTATGATTGTATTTAAATTTGTGTGTGTGTGTGTATGTATATAACTTTTAATAATAATTTGGAGAACTCTGTGTCTCCTTCTCCATAAAATTTGTTTCAAACAATTATTTATCAATCTATTTTCCACTAAATCGAACGAGTTTGAAATAGTATCTTATTTGAATGGCGGTGCTATATATATGTATTTTATGAACAACACATACACCATATTTCTCTCTCTTTCTCTCTTACTCTCATGTTCGAAATGTAAATATGTAACGCAGCAAATATTATCTGACAAGCCACGTAGACCTTTTTCCATGTCGATTTATTGCAGGGAAAATACACCGATATTGTAATTTACATATTCGAAATTATCTACGTACTCTCTCTCTCTTTCTCTCTCTAAATCATATTTATCAATACAAATTGAAAGCCCGAAATCGTATGTAACGACTAAAATTTGCGATCGCGAAAACGTACAAACATACAGAATTTGTTAATTTAAATGTTAAATTCAGATTTATATCTTGCAACGATTACATCAAATTGTTCTCACGCTGCGAGATACGTAAATATTGCAATTTTGCATCCCAGGTGCGCACGAGGAAGGTAAGAGGAGGTAACATATTTTGTTGCGCGTTACCCACATATTTTTAGACGCGCGTTAGAGAGCTGTCAGAGTTTTATATATTTCTTTTCTAGTAAAAAAAAAAAAAAAGATTCACGCACATCTTCCGATAGAACGATCAGTCAAAATCGAGCGAGACACAAAGACGTTTATCCACAACGTCAGAAACTCTTCTCTTTCAGAAGAAGCCAACCAACCAACACGTTGTCTTTGCGTTTTTGTGCACTTTAATATGTGTGTGTGTTTCTTCAAAAGAAAACTCAAAGTTTGAGAGAGGAAAACTCGATATTTTGCTTAGCACTTAAATCCGACAGAGGTGTTTCGACATATTCATCGAAGATACGTCAATACAACAATAGACACTTTCGAGATCTGTATATAAGATTCTTGATATTTTTTTTTTTCTTGTCTTTGTTGCAAAGAGAGATGTGCAAAGAAAACGACGGCGAAAACGAAGAGGATGTAAATGGATACGAATGTTGTTTTATCGAGTTTGCGAGAGACTGCTGCTCGCCACGTTTCAGGACGAACTAGACAGAAGAGCGTCAAATAACGGCACGGGAGTGGAGCACTCCGGATACGAACTTGCACGTCTGCATCATCCCACACATTTGCTTGTTCCCTTTCTCGCGTTTCTTCCTCGTTTCTTTCGCTCCTATCTCTCTTACTTTTTTTTTTTACGTAATTAAACTTCTCACATATATATATATATATATAATAATAATATCAATTTCGAAATAACATTTCCGTTTTTTTTTTTTTCTGTTTGAACGAGTTCGAAACGTGAAACTCTCTCGCGCGCTCGCTTCGACTTC